TCTTTATTAAGCTCGGGTATAGCTATTCGCTACCTAATAAAGCCTTAATAAAGCTCGGTTAGTAAAAAATAGGACTATTTAAGATTAAGGAATAGGTCTCGCTATTAGTATACCTACTAAAGCTACCCGAAACGCTTAATATCTATCCTGTTATTAGTATTACGTATTTATAACTGGTAAAGGAACCGGGAATAGACCTATTCCCCGGCCAGACGGCCGATAGAGAACCTATTCGTCCTAGCGACCCTAATAAGGTTAGGCACGAGTAGCGCGACTTATACGAGTATTATAAGATTAACGCTATCCTTAATAAAAGAGTCACTAAAAAAGGTCACGGTAAGCCGCGCACTAAGTACCTAATTCGATAAAAAGGATAGCTAAGTTAGTATAACGTCTAGATACTAAAGGAAGCTATAGACCCACCGGAAATAGTTAAAGCCTTTAAGGAACGATAAAAAGCCTTAGAAATGCTACGGGTAATAACGAAAGGAGTAAAGGCGAATAAGGCGCTTAAGCTAGAAGACGTTAAGGAACTCGGAGTATTAAAGAATACCCGAGGCTAAGAACCTTTAACGACCGCTAGTATAGCCGCGCTACCGCGTAACTTACCGAGGTTACCGCTTAAATCACCCACGGTAACCAAATACTATTTATATATAGCGAGAAAGGTATAAGGGAAGGCATAAAGGCTATTATCTTATATTTAAAGAGAAGGCACGAGTAACTAAAATAATATAGAATAATAAAAAACTCTACGCCGCTCCGTTAGATTAGCTATACCCCTAGCACGGATATAAAAAATCCTCCTAAAACCGCTATCTCCTATATCCTCACACCTTTTACTATTATAACGGCCTAAGGTATATTAGTGATATTCGATCGTTAGAATATCCTAAATATCCTCCTTGCCCCCTTTATCCTCTTATTATATTAAGTATATACCCTTTTCTATATATTCTAGTCTCCCGTATACTCCCTAATACTCGAGGATAATATCGCCTATAGCTTAGTAGTATATTATTAAGTACCTATTAGCTATTAATAAATCTAAGAACGTGGTGTTCGAGCACTAATTCTCTAAGTATTTCTATAAAGGACGTATAGGCGAGGGGTTACCCTTTAAAGGGTACTTCCGAGTAATAACCCTATTCGGTGATAAAAGTTTACTTATCACTAAGCCCTTATCCGCCAGCGTAGCCTTCTATACTTAGTGTAAAGAGAATAAAAACATTTTTATAGCCTACTATAACCGCGCCTTAGCCCTTAGCTATAATAATCTAACTAACCGGGCCTTATATCGCTCTGTGTTTACGCTAGCGTTTAAGGCTATAAAAGTTATTAGTATAAATAACACTAAAGCACTCGCCCTTATCTACCCCTAGCCCTAGTTCTAGACTATAATCTTAACGTGTAAAGCTAGACTAGGCCTGCCGAGATATTCGAGTAGTACCTTACTAGTATACCCCGATATAATACGCCGCAGGGACTAAACGGACACTTCCTTCTAGACCCACCGTCCGCGTCGCGCCCTAATAACCCCGTTACTCCGTAAAACTAACGCACCGTCGGCGCGCCCCTTAGCTTCCCTATCCATTCGGGCGTAAGCGCCCCGAATATAGCCACGCCTACTATACCGACTGCTATTCCTATAATAGATAGAGTAATACCTACCCGTATTCTATAGGAAGACAATAAGCTAGCCTACCTAGCCCTTAGCCTAGCGGGCGCTATAAAGGCCCGCTATGCAGGCTAAGTGGATAAGGCTATATTTCTCACACGAATAAGTAACTACGATAGTCTAATTAAATCGCGCGTAATATTAGTCGCGTAATTCCTCTAAGCCTCCGTATAGAAGGTAACGCCTAGTATCTAATAAGCCGCTGATATTCTAGCCTAACTACGCAAAGGTAATACGACCACGACTACCCCGACCGCCCTAACCACTACTATACCTAGTCTTACCACGCCCGCCGGCCTATTAAATACCCCGTCTACCGGTATAAAATATCCTTACTAAGGATATACCGCCCCCCCCTTACCTAAACGCTTCCTAGTAAGACTAGGCAAGGAAATAGTTTAGATACTTAGATATAAATATCTCGCGAAACGTCTATTTAACCCTGGTGCCGTGTTTATATTGGACGAATTTATATATAATAAATAAAGATTAACGATATTTCTTTAGAGCGACTAAGATACTATCCTGCCTATACCAGTTACCGCTTAGGTAAGAAAGTTCGTCACCGTTTAAGTTATCCCTAATAAGACCTAGAACGCTATCGGGTTATCGTTCCTCCTTAGCGTATAGCGTATAGAGGAATACACGTAAGTTACTAAGCTTAATTCTAACAGGACTATAAACGCCGATAAGCGTGTAATTATAGCCGAGCGCTTTACTACCTACTATACACATGTATAGGACCTAATACTCTATATAAGTGTCCTCGTCTAGTACTTCGATAGGCCTAGGAATAAAGGACTCCTCTCTGCATACGATATCAAGCGCAATAAGATCGATAAGCGCGCGGGGGAGCTAGGCTCTAGCGATACTAAGACTATCCTTATATATAATAAGGAAAACTAGGGTTTCCTAGATAATAATAATGAGCTGCTATAGGTAGAAGAAGTTTAAGACATAAGGACTTTAAAAGATATTCGCACGGAGTTTTTTTAGTTTATAGGGTTTATATCTTATATTCGGTATCCGGGTATATAGAGAAGGGCGTATATTTTATATTTAATTAGTATAATCGCACGGTTTTTAGCCCACGATAAAAAGAGTATATACAAAGGAAAAGACGGCGTATATATACGTCGTTATAAAAAAAGACTTAGGAAATACTTCTAGTTATATTAGTTTATTCTTTTTCTTTTTATTATTTACTTTAATCTTACCTATTATTAGCGGTCGTCTAAGGCACGACGATACTATATAATTATACGCCTGGCACAGAGATTAAGTAGATAGCGTAGTTATCGCGGAAATATAGTCTATCCCCTATTTCCTTTTATTATAAACGCCGTCCGTTCGTATAGGCTATAAGTACTAACTACTCTGCCCCGTATACCTAATATACCGGCCACGCACGCATTATATACCTTATCGCCTAATAGCTCTCTAAAACGCCCGCAGGATATAAGGCTCTTCTTACCCGGGGTATATAATACGCCGGAATAGCGTAGGACTATACGTAAGGATAGTCCTCGCGCGCTAGGCATTATACGTATATATAGTGCCCGCTGGCCGGAACCTAAACGTATATTTAGGGCCCGGGCCGGGTTCCCTAAACGCACGTATAAAATAGATAGTCCGGGCCTCGCCGAGTATATATTCCCGGTAAGCCCGCCTTTCGATTAGTAGAAGGTATCTTTATTATACCCTATTTTCTATACTTAAAGGTCGCTATTCCGAACCCTAGAAGCCCTAGGTCCGATAGTACTAGCTGCCTAGAGATATACCTGGATAGGGTATATTAGTCATTACGTCCGTCCTTATGTTTATAATTAATATGAACGATTATATCGATAGGTACTTCTTTACTAATAACTCGGTGTAAAGCTAGTAGAGTACAGGCGTAAGGGTCTATATACACCGGCTCTAGATACTTAACCGAAATTGTATCGTGTATCTTCTAATTATTTAGGATATTTAGTCTATACGCGAGCTTACCTACTCGCTCCACGACTTTAAAGGGTCCCGCGAATTATTATCCTAGCTTAGTAGTAATAGTGTAAGATATCTGGATAGAGTATCACTTATTAAGACGCAGGTAAACTCTAGATCTAATATTAAAGAATTTAGGGGTATAACGCTTATCGTAGTGTCGTTCTATCGCTATCGCGGCTTCGGTAATAGCGTTAGCCGCTTTAAGCCGCGCTATAAGTAGCGTGTGCGGGTATTCCGTAATAGCTATTAGTGCGTCATTCGACGTCAGACCCTTCACGATTTTTATAGGGCTGTATTTCGTAGAGGCGGACCTAGTAGTATTATACTCGAATTACAAATAGGAGAGTGCTCTCTTCTAGAGTTCGGGTCGTTCTAGGTCGTGTATATATATCCTTATAGCGGTCTTAATAATTTAAATTAGTCTCTCTGTCTATCTATCTATCTAGTAATAATACGCTATAGCGTAGAGTAGGGTAGTGTCTAATCTATCCTATATCCGCTTCTAGATTACCGCGAGGAATTTAGAGTTCTGATTAGAGAGTATAATCTTAGGTATTCCCTAGTTTACGGTTAGTAATCTATCGATTGGTGTATCTGCCTATTATTATATAGTGTAGTCCTTATGTCCCGGCAGAATTATTAATTCCCTGGAAAACTTATCGATAATGGCTATAGCAGAGTCGTGCCCGCCTAGTATAAGGGGTAGTGCGAGGATAAAATCGATAGAGATTATATAGTATAGGTAGGGTAGTGGAATAATAGGTTAAAGGCTGCCGTATAGCTTATAGTATAGTTTCTGGTGGACCTTATAGAGAGGGCACGTTACTCAGTAGCGTCTAAGCTCGGAGTATCCCTTATAGATATATACCTAATACAGGAATTAACTTAACTTTGCGTATCCGAGGTAATTACTATTATATATAGTATCGATGATATTCTTCTAATAGGTGCGCGGGATATAGAGTCTCGGTAAGCTATCCGACTTATACTAGATAAATCCGTCTAGACGTATCTTAAAGGGTATACGCGCCTTATTTTTGGCTAGTTTATCGTTAGAGTGGATCGTGTCGAGTATGCCTTTCTAGAAGGGGTCCTCCCGATAACCCTCCTTAACGTCTGCCTTAAATTCCGGTGATAATTTTACTAGTATGGCTATAGGTTATAGGGTATTGATTAAAGGTAGTTCCGCCTAGACTCGTATATCTAGTAATAAAAGAGACTAGGGTGGATATAGTCGTATAGGTAATAGGGTAACATTACTAGTATAGGCTATAGTCTAACAGTCCTAGGGTAGTTTATCTAACTATCTAGGGGCTTTATTATTATTAGTGTGTTATAGAATCGTGGGGAGTCGGCGAAGGGTATCTAGGATAATATAATCTTTGCCGGGTTTATATACGACTTGAACGTTGAACTGGGAAATATACTCTATAGCCCTTAAGATCTTCTTATTAACTCCGGTGCGCGAAGTGGTGTTAGCGATATCGAGCTATCTAGATAGTATAATAATAGCCTAATAGTCTATAAACACGATAGCCGGGCCTGCTTATATATTATTAATCTAGTATACTATTTTGCTAAGTATCTAGATATAGCCCGTAAGCTCTAACTCGGTCGCCTAGTAGCTCTTTTCGGCCTAGTATAATACACGCGATAAAAACGCGATTAGTTTAGTAGCTATACGGGGTAGGTATATCGCCCTATCCTGCTAGACGATCTTAGGTAGTATAGTCTAGTCCACGTAAAAGACCCCTACTTAAGGTCTCCTAACTAAGTGGGTGGCGAGAGGCCTCCTTAGGACTAAGTTTAGGCGTAACCTGGTTCCTAAGCTGACTAGCTTACTAGATCTAAGCTGACTTCTAAGCTGACTAGCTTATTTAACTTCGACGCGTTATATCTCTGATAGTCTGACCTGACTATAATCCCCCTATCTATATATAAGTCTAGTATTAGTCTTATAGTAACGTATAAGCACTATATATTCTGATAATATACCCCTCTCTACAAATACTCCTATCCTTAGGAGTATAAGTGCGGATAATTAAAGAGGGATTAGTTATCTAGTAAAAGGAACCTATATTAATACGAAACTCTTTAGGACACCCGTCTTTAGTTAGACCGGGTTCTTTCTTCCCACTTAGAGTACTTAAGGAAGATAATAAGCGTTTACCCTTAAACCGTAGATATAGCTATATCTAACTAAGACGTTATTTAGGTATAAAGGTCCTAAGAGCAGTATAATTAGTTTAAAAAGCGAAGTAAAGAGGAATCTATAAATAACTATCGTGTAAATAAATAACGTGTCTAAAATATCCTTAAAGTACTTAAAGTATATGAAGAGATTGCCTATAGTGTTACCGTTAACTAGCACGGTTTTGATTATAGTAAGAATAAAAGGATATAGGAGGTCTGATAGCAGGTATAAAGTGTTATCGTAGTAGATATAAGGAAGGTATACGCGGTTCTCCAGGGTTAGTTAACCTCTTACTATAGTAATAATAATAATATCCACTATTTTCTCGAATAATCTTCCTCTAATTCTTTTCTTTCCTACTCTAAGTATATATTTATAGTTCTTATACTATAGGTAAGTGGTTCTGTATATATCCCGTTAACGATTAATAAGTAATAAGGGGTAGCCTTTATTTATAATACTAAATAATTTCTAATAATAACGCGCCGATCATTCTTACTATTATATCTAATAATCTGACTAAAGATTAGCTAGCGCTTATTATAGAGTATATAGAGAACTTACGCTAGGAGAATATAGCGCTACGGCTAGTATTAGGCTAATAAGATACTATTACTAATAATAATAATAACACTCTTACTAGAGTGGTTAACTAAGGTAATAGCCCCGTTATTAAGCTATCGTTAGATAGCGAGTACGCTCTTAGTAAGTATAAAGAGAATAATAATCATAGTGTTATTATAATTAACGACGATTCCTTTAAGGGGTTCTCTAAGGAAAAGGGTAGTAAAGTGGTTATAGTGAACCACGGGGAGGAAGAGGAGGATAAGGACGATATTAACCCGGATACGGTTAATAATATCGACGAGGATAAGGATATAGCCGACGCCTATAAAGGCTATAACGAGCCGTAGGAGGATACTATATATATAGTTAAGGAGGACGTGGAGGGCACCTACCCTTACGCTCCTTATAACCGTTATATATAGCACTTCCTAAGGCTTAAGCTAGATAGTAGTTATAACTATGTTATCTTTAGCGCCTATAAGGAGGCGTATACTATTAATTCGTATAAATACGAGTATTACTAAGGTAATAGTTTTTAGGGTTACATAAAGGTAAGTAATTATAACTCCTTCCCAATAAGCTATTCCGTGGATTACTAATATACCTTTAGATAACTCTTAAGGCTAAGTTACTAGGTAAGTGTATATAGCGTTATCTGATTAAAGCTAATAACCGCGGCTATTATACTAATACGTAGCTTATAAGTAAACCTTACCCCCTAAAAGAGTATACCTTACTAACTTAGTAATAGGCCGAACTAAAGAAGCTATAGATTTTACTAAGTAAGACTAAGAGCGGGTATTAGGCCTAAAATCGTCAGGGCTTTAATAAGGCTCCTATAGTTAGCCGCGCCGCTAAAAAGGCGGTTAGAGATACTCGGTCTTATTAGGAAATTATAAAGAGTGCGCTGCTACGTTTTATAGCTGTAGGTGAACGCTTATACGAGTACCTGCTTAGTAAATAGCCGTAGTAAAATAGGGGGCTAGGGGGCGGTTAATATATAATTACCGAGAATTTATATCGGGGGGGGGGGGGACTCTAGGCCTTAGAATTTTTCGCTTTCAGGGTTTTTTTTATCTAGTATAATAGTAAGTCCCTATAGGGTAATAATTAATTTTCTAGGCCCTCATTTAGGAGGTCTACGGGTTTAGTATATAAATTCCTGAAATTCTAATACGTGAGATATTTCTTAAGCCTAGTGTATTAGGATTATACTCCTAAGGCGCTCTAGATATCTACCTAAGGGGTATATCGGGACCTCCTAGCCTGATACTCGCGAAGGAGCGATCCGGGATATTTCGCGTGGGTTCCTAAGTGTTTTCCTTATAGCCGTAGCCTTCCTATTTAATTAGGTATTAGCGGCGGTTTCTATTATAACGGTAGGCTAGGATATCCCTAACTTCGTATTTATCGGACTTCTAATGTTCTACCTCGACTTCCTAGGGGACTTAGACGCCGTCTATACGAGGACTTTAGGGCTTTAAGAGGGAAATAGGAAAGATACTATAAATTTTTATAGTTACCGGAAGTTTTAACTTATAGGCGAGTCCGTGATTACCTATAACTTCCTTAATTTTATAGGGTCTTAGGTATTTATCCGAGAGCTTTTTACGAGGCCGTTTCTACTTAATATTCTTAGCGGAGAGGAGGATATACTTACCTTTTTTAAACTTATAGGTAAGCTTATCGGTATTATAGTACTTCGTATATAGATCCTAGGCCTTTTTAATAAGTTCCGTGAGGGCTCTCTTATTCGCTACTAAGTATTTAATATATCTATCGGCGGACACGGCGTAGAACTTATTAGCCTTAGGGAGCGTAATATCGTTAGGTCTTTAGGGGATATAGCCTATAAGTATTATAGCGGGGGATTACTGGATTACAGAATACTACGCGGTATTATACGTAAACTAAGCTAATAAGAGCTTATCCACCTAGTTATCCTGTTAGTAGGTATAATAAGTCCGTAGGTAGTGCTCTATGTTGTAATATTACCGCTTAGTTTAACTATCGGTCTACGGATAAAACGCTATTAATAGTCGCCTCTTAAGTCTTAGGCGCCTATATAGGGTAAACTAAAATTTACTCGTGAATAAAGAATTATTATGAGAAATAATACTATCTAGTAAGCCGAAGATAGAGAAGATACTTAACTATATAAGGTTCGCTAGGTCCTCTGTATTTAAACTAGAATTATACAGGATATATAGGGTAAATTTCGTGTATCGGTATATAATAATATGGATAGCATCCTTTTCCCTACCTCCGTGTATTACGGGCAGTAGCCCGGTAATAAAGTCGACTAAAACTTCCTAGAATAGACGGCCTAGTATAAAAAGACTCTAGAGGCGCCCGTAGGGTTTATAATGTTTAGGATTAGTCCTCTAATAAATAGGGTAAGTAGGGATAAAAGTCTTAACGTCCTATTTTATATATCCCTAAAAGAAGGTATCCGTAATACACCGGAGGGTCCTTATAATTCTATAGTATTTAGCTATAGGGTGGTCATGGAACGCCTATAGGACCTATTCCCGGAGACCGGAGTGTTTCGGAATAAAGAGCCTATCGCGGAAAAAGACTAGGCCTTATTTATTATAGGACCACGGGTTAGTCCCGTTACCTTCTCATAGCGACTTATAAAAGGGGTCCTCTTATTAGGCTTCTATAATATCATCCTTAAGGCTAGGTAATAACGTTATTATATCCTTATAGGGGGCCGACTTAAGGGCCGCGTGAACGGGTCCGACCGTAAACTTTTATATAAATGCTTTAACCGGCTTTTATCGCTTTATACGAAGGTTAAGACTTCCTGCTATATACTAGGGCTTCCTTAAGAGGCTCTCTATAGGGTTATTAATACCCGGTCGGTGTCGGATAATAAAGTCGTAGACTACTAATTTCTTAAGCTATCGGGCGTGCTAGGCCTTTACCTTAGGTTTTTTAAGAAGGTAGCGGTGGTTTAAGTAGTCCGTTAGCACGTCTATAGGGGTCTACGCGTAGGCGACGTAGTATCTTTATTATCGAAAAGCCTCTATAATAGCTATAAGCTTAGTGTCCGGGGTAGAGTAGTTTAACTTAGGACCTTATAGCTTCCCAGAGAAGAATACTATAGGTCTCCACTATCGGTCTACATTAAGTTAACTAATAACCGCTTCTAGGGCGAAATTTAGTACGTCCGGTTTAATCCGGATTAATAATATTAGGTTAAAATACCGAAGAATAGGCGCCTCCTGGAATTTCTAGTATAATTGCCGAAAAGTATCCCGCTCCTTAGAGGTTAATACGAAGACCCCTACTCTTCCCCCGTCTTTTAATAGGTTAGTTAGTAGTGCTATAATCTTAGAGTAGGACTTAATACACCGCCGGTAAAAACCCGTAAACCCTAAAAAAACCTGGACTTTCTTAATCGTGTCTAGCTCTTCCTAATCCCGAATAGCTTTAACCCGTTTAGGGTCTATAAAGACACTATAAGGATAATAGATAAACCCGAGGAACTCCACCTCTTGAATCTTAATAATATATTTCTTCGGATTAGCGTATAAGGACTAGTCCCGTAGCCGTTATAGAATACTCCGTATATATCGGCGATACGATACCACGTCTAAGCTATAAATTAAGATATTATCTAGGTAAATAACGTAAATAGTATCTATAAGTCCTTGTAAAGACTTATTAATATATTGTTAAAAGGAGGCAGGAGTATTATAAAGACTAAAAGGTATTAC